GGGAAATCCTTGACCTCTACCTGGACAATCTGTCTTAGGCTCTGCTGGCGTGGGCCCCTACACCCAGTTCCAAATTGCATTACGGCTGCCACGAGTGGTCCTTACCAAACAGAGTCCTTTTGTAGATTTCCAAGAGGAAAGAAGGTCTTCAATTCCCAGTGAAGGCTGGCTGTAAAGCTGTGGAACTGGATCCCCTCAGCAAAGGCTATGCTTCTCTGTAGAGCTGTGGGACTGAATTCCCCCCAGCAAAAGCTGTAGATCTGTGGGACTGGATCCCCCCAGCAAAAGCTGTAAAAGATGAAGCTTTCTACAGGTGGAACTGATTCACATCCTGTACAAAAGGCTTCTCTGTGTGAACTGAACTAGAGGTCCCCTTTTCCTTCCTTAACCCAGAAAAAGGGGCGGAACTAAAGAACCTAATGATGATTGATGGGTCATTGGCCCTATGCTTGCAAACCAAGGGAAGCCACCTTATTGCAAAATGCATGGAACTTTGAAATACATGCAAACACTCAAAAAAAGAGAAGAAGTTGGAGCTCCTGGTACAGCCGTACCAGCACAATAATTTATATCCAAAATGAATCAACAGAAAAGCTAAGATGAATGAATATGTACATCAATCTTTGACGTTCTTATTGGGGTGGCCATATTGTCCAGAGACCCCCAGGTCCGTCTCCCTCTTGACAAACATAAGTGCCCTTCCCAGCCTGGTCTGGCGAGATGACTCCTCCTCTGCCTTGCTCTTCTGGCCCTTGTGCTTCACATCCTGGATGGGCTGCAACTCCCCTGGAATAGGATGGGACACCTCCATGTTGGAATCGGAGGGGGTCCAGGGAGATGGTGGGCCTGCTCTCCGGGTGGATCTGCATGCCCCCTCCTCTGCAATGCTGTTTGGAGGGAGGAGCGTGGCTTTACAGAATGGACTACTCCCTCCGCTAGCTTGGAAAGGCGACGGGTTGGATGGAATCCCCTTCTGCTGGTCCACGATGTGCCCATGGTTGGGCTGGCGTTGGAGTGGGAAGAGAGAGAGGGCCCTGCCACTGCCGCCATCGAGATGGAAGAGGAAACCTGGGATATTGGTGGAAGCAGCTTCCCCAGCCCTCTTCCCAGGATGGCCGTGGTGGATGGCGGTTGGTCCGAAATGCCTCCTTCTGGTGGTCTCCTGCCTGGGAGGGTCACCTTTGCTTGGATCTTCTTCACCAGGAGAAGGAAGGCCTGGCATGACCTGAGCATGGGCTGAGCCAGAGGCCTCTCATGGGCCGGCTTGTTAGGGTCGGCTGACGTGGGCTTGGGTAGAAATAATGCAAATAAATAAAAAAATATATTCTAAAGCAGTGGCTCTCAACCTTCCTAATGCCGCGACCCCTTAATACAGTTCCTCATGTTGTGATGACCCCCTACCATAACCCTAACATTATGAATCGCCATGTAAATAATGATCTGCAGGATGTACTTTCATTCACTGGAGCAAATTTGGCACAAATACCCGGTATGCCCAAATTTGAATACTAGTGGGGTTGGCGGGGGGATTGATTTTGCCATTTGGGAGTTGTAGTTGCTGGGATTTATAGTTAACCTGTAAACAAAGAGCATTCTGAACTCCACCAACAATGGAATTGAACCAAAGTTGGCACACAGAACTCCCATGACCAACAGAAAATACTGGAAGGGTTTGGTGGCATTGACCTTGATTTTGGAGTTGTAGTTCACCTACATCCAGAGAGCACTGTGGACTCAAACAATGATGGATCTGGACCAAACTTGGCACGGATACTCAATATGCCCAAATGTGAACACTAATGGGGTTTGGGGAAAATAGACTTTGACATTTGGGAGTTGTAGACACTGGGATTTATAGTTGACCTACAATCAAGGAGTGTTCTGAACCCCACCAATGATAGAATTGAGTCAAAATTCCCACACGGAACCCCCGTGACCAACAGAAAATACTGTGTTTTCTGATGGTCTTTGGCGACCCCTCTGACACCCCTTCGCGACCCCCTCAAGGGTCCTGACCCCAGGTTGAGAAACACTGTTCTAAAGGCATTTTCTCCTGACGTTTCACCTGCATCTATGGCAAGCATCATCAGAGGTTGTGAAGTCTTTACATTACAACCTCCGAGGATGCTTGCCATAGATGCAGGCGAAACATCAGGAGAGAATGCCTCTCTAGAACATGGCCATATAGCCCGAAAAAAATTGACAACAACCCAGTGATTCCAGCCATGAAAGCCTTCGATAATTCAACATAGTTTGTGGTAAACACAAAAACAAAGTTTCTGGAGTAGAACAATGACTTTCAAACTCAGGACTGCACAAAATTAAATAGAAAATAACACTTTTAACCTAGGATAATTTTTTTCAAATGTTGTTACATAGCGTAATCCATTCCTGATGTTTACCAGTTTGGCTTCCTCTGCTGCTCAGAACTCAAAATAGCCACCATCACACACATTACAAGGTGCAGTTGCCCTGCCACTATGTCCAAAGCTTTAGGGTGGCTCGAATGACCTTCCTTATACAGCGGATTAGTCAATTATGATGAGTTAAGTACTTGGCTCAGCTTTCTCCCTCATGCAGACTAGCCTCCTCCAACCTGCATGTTTCTAATGCGCAACGGAAAGCACTCAATATGCACAGATTCCCACTGGCAGAGGAAGAGAGTCTCATCCATTAAGAAAGGATTAAGCCCAGCAGTGTTGGGGTCATTACAAGCAGCCCTGCAAAGCCAAAGGGGGATTATAAAAAGTGGAAATGCTGCATTTGACGCTCCGGGTGCATTTATTTACACTGTGGAACTGATGAAATTTAGCCCCTCTTTAACTGTCATGGCTCAACACCATGGAATCCTAGGAGTTGTAACTTTTGAGTGGAAAGTACAATTCCCATGCTTCCACAGCATTCAGCTCTGGCATCAAACTGCATTCATTATACAGCAGTGGTTCTCAACCTTCCCAATGCCATGACCCCTTAATACAGTTCCTCATGTTGTGGTGAACCATAAAATTATTTTCGATGCTACTTCATAATTGCAATTTTGCTACTGTTCTGAATCGTCATGTAAATATCTGATATGCAAGGTGTATTTTCATTCACTGGACCAAATTTGGCACAAATACCCGATACACCCAAATGTCAATACTGGTGGGGTTGGGGGCAGGATTGATTTTGTCATTTGGGAGTTGTAGTTCCTGGGGATCTGGACCGAACTTTGAATAAATACTCAATATGCCCAAATGTGAACATTGGTGGAGTTTGGGGACAATAGACCTTGCTTTTGTTATTTGGAAGTTGGAGTTGCTGGGATTTATACATCACCTACAATCAAAGAGCATTCTGAACTCCACCAACACTGGAATTGAACCAAACTTGGCACACAGAACTCCCATGACCAACAGAAAATACTGGAAGGGTTAGGCAGGTATTGACCTTGAGTACTGGAGTTGTACTGTTTTCATTCACTGGACCAAATTTGGCACAAATACCCGATACACCCAAATGTCAATACTGGTGGGGTATTGAGATTACTGTGGACTCAAACAATGATGGATCTGGACCAAACTTGGCACAGATACTCAATATGCCCAAATATGAACAGTGGGGGAGTTTAGGGAAAATAGAGCTTGACATTTGGGGATTGTAGTTTCTGGGATTTATAGTTCACCTACCATCAAAGAACATTCTGAACCCCGCCAATGACAGAATTGGTCCAAACCTCCCACACAGAACTTCCATGACCAACAAAAAATACTGGAAGGGTTTGGTGGGCATTGACCTTGAGTTTTGGAGTTGTAGTTCACCTACATCCAGAGAGCACTGTGGACTCAAACAATGATGGATCTGGACGAAACTTGGCACAAATCCTCAATATGTCCAAATGTGAAAACTGGTGAACTTTAGGGAAAACAGACCTTGACATTTGGGAATTGTAGTTTCTGGGATTTATAGTTCACCTACTATTAAAGAACATCCTGAACCCCACCAGTGATAGAATTGGGCCAACTTCCCACAAAGAACCCCTATAACCAACAGAAAATACTGTGTTTTCTGATGGTCTTTGGTGAGCCCTCTGACTCACTCTTCACGACCCCCAAGAGGTCCCGACACCCATGTTGAGAAACACAGTTCTACAGTGTAGATGCATCCCAAGTAAAGATTCCAAAGAAACTAATCCTGAATGCTGTTCTTTCAGTATTCCCATGGTAATAACACTGGGCTAACATTCAGAGGTTCTCTTGATTTATTTGAATTAGAAGATACATTTTCATCTCACCTTTCCTCCAAGGAGTTCAAAGGCAAAATGCATGACCCTACTCCACCTCACTTTCTCCTTGCAAAACCCTGTGACGTAGGTCAATCTGAGAGAGAATGGCTGGCTTTGGATTTCATGACTCGGGGATACTGGGACTTGGGAAACCAAGATCCTCAATCTGACCATTATGCATCGCAGTGGCTTGGTCTGATCCAGCAAGGTCAGAAAGTGAAACCACAGACCTTGCTTGTCTTGCTGGGTCATATCCCCACTGTGTAACAATGTCACACCACTTTAAGAGTTACATGGCTCGATCCTATGGCATCCTGAGTTGTATTGTTTGGTAAGGAACTTTTTATTCTCTGCCAGAAAACTCTCAGTGTGGTGTTTCTCCAATTATCTGGTATGGTGGACCAGTCATCTCCTCTCTCCATGTGCTAAAAACTAGTACCAGTGTTATATTATGAGGGTTATCTGGAAAGTAAGGTGACAAGGCATGTAGCTCTCACAGGGAATTTTCTCAGGGGAAGCTGGTATCATTGCTGTGTAGCAGGAAGCCAAGAGAAACAAACGAGCAATGCCAGTTGTCAGTAGCTCATCAATTGACATTGTGAAGGTTAGAGATGAGCGTCCTCATTCCATTTCCATCCAAGTACCAAGTTCATGCTGTACAAGGGTTATCTGGAAAGTAAGGTGACAAGGAATGTAGCTCTCCCAGGGAATTTTCTTGGGGAAATTTTATATGAATGCAGTGTAGTGGGAAGACAGCGGAAGCGAACGAGCAGTGCCACTCGTCAGTAGCTCATCGATTGGCATTGTGGTGAAGGTTAGAGATGAGCATCCTCATTCCATTTCCACCCAAGTGCCAACTTCATGCTGTATGAGGGTTATCTGGAACGGAAGGTGACAAGGCATGTAGCTTTTGTGGGGAATTTTCTTGGGGAAATTTGATAGGAATGCTGTGTAGTGGGAAGACAGCGGAAGTGGACAAGCAGTGTCAGTCATCAATAGTTCATCGACTGGCATTGTGGTGAAGATTAGAGATGAGTGTTCTCATTCTGTTTCCCTCCAAGTGCGAAGTTCGTGCTGTAATACTTAAATGCTAAGGGTATGAAAGCTGCTGCGATTCATCACGAAATCATTTCAGTTTATGGAGTGGACAAAATGTCAAGACAGCATGCAACAAAATGGACATGGAATATATTGTGAGACCATGAAGAAACTTTGCAGAGTCATCCAAAAGCTGTCATGGGATGCTGACGGTGGGAGTCTGTCTCATGACAATGCACGTCCACACACCGCTCATGTAACACAAGAGTTGTTGACTTAAGCCACCCCACTCACAGCCCCAATCTCACACCCAGTGACTATCACCTGTTCACTAAATTGAAGGAACACCTGGGTGGAAAACACTTTTCCAACAACAACAATGTGAAAATCGAAGTGATGAACTGACTGAAAAAGGTAGAGGGAAACTTTGAAGATACAGGCATCAAAAACTCATCCCACAGATGACAAAATGTATTGAACTCAATGGTGATTATGTGGGAAAATATTGTAATAACTTTGCTACAATCAATGTAAGCTTTATTAAAACATATTCATTCTTTGTATTTTAATAAAATCTTGTAACCTTACTTTCCGGATAACTCTTGTATTATTTTGTTTGTACTGTATTATAATGGTGATGATATTTTTATCATATGGCACAAATCAAATAAGATATCTCATCATCATCACCTCTATCTTTGCATAGCTTTGGGAAAACTTGCAGGTGACTGGAATGTAATGACTGGAATGTAACCAGCACAACTTCCTGAAATGCTTCCATTCCTCTTTGAAAGTATTGTGAACTCCCAGTGTTGGGACAGAACACTGGGAGTGAGTTGGACTGCTAACATATACTTTTGCTGCTTGTTGACTCCTCTTAAGGTCATGGCAGTGCTGGAGGAGGAAATGGCAAACTATTTAAAAGAATAATAGAGTTGGAAGAGACCACATGGGACACTTAGTCCAGCCCTCTGCCATGAAGGAAAAGCACAATCAAAGCACCCCCAACAGATGGCCATCCAGCATCTATTTAAAAGCCTCCAAAGAAAGAGTCTGACCATACATGTGTCATTTTGTAAACTACATTTTTCATCATATTGCATGTGCTTGGCCTATAGCACATGCCCATAAATGTTCCCACAGTGTAAACATTCCTGGTGTTAGAAAAGGAACAGGATTTGTGCCCGTCTACCCATTGCATTTGTGTCCTACACTTCTTCCAAATATCTCAGTCCTACATTAGTGGGAGGTATCTCATTTTGTCCTCACAACAACCCTGTGAGGTAGGTTATGCTAGGAGAATATGGCTAGCTTATGGTGAACATCACAGATTTGAACACGGGTCTCTCCACTTAGAATCCAGCAGCCCAGTAAAACTCGATCTTCATCCCAATACGGTTCTTCTCTCAAACGCTGCCTCATGGGACAGCCCTGGGTAACTTCTAATGCCAGATCATCAAGACAGACTAGGGCTGGGTTGGGGTCAATGGTCCTTCAGGTATCCATTGGTACTCAGGTTCATTTCTTTGTTCCACCATCTCCTCCAGGAATGGTACTTCTTTATGCTTTTTCTCCGCACAAATTGGCAGATGCTGACCATAAAAACACAAGACACGGCATACATGATCACGCCTCCAGCCTTGATGAACCACTTGGGTTTTGGGGAGGTCAACACGCAGTACATCAGCCAAGCCCCGACTCCAATCCTGACCCCTGCAAAGAGCACCACAAAAAAGAAGTCCACAATATCCCCAATGAGTGTGTGGTAGAGGCCCACTTGCCGGAGGAACCAGCGGGCCTGCAGGAGTGGGTTGGTGATCTCACTACCGAAGATGACACCATTGACTTCTGCAGCGGATTCTCCCAGGGCAAGAGACACCGTGATTCCTAGGATGCTGACAGTATGATGGGCCAACATCAAGACACCTTCTGCCTTGAAGTAGACACACCAACCGAGGTCAAAGAGGAAGTAGCCCAAACTGATGCACAACGCATGGACCTGCAGGGTTGTGTTTGGAAACCCTGGAAGAAGAGAGAAAAGTTGTGTCATCCTGATTGCATGCCATAAGTGCATCAACAAGCAGTTCAGCCAATGCCAAAGACAGGAGAAGCCAACTTCACCTTGATCTGTCAATGGGATCACATGGAGGGATCACATGTTTTGAGAAAGTAAGCTTTAAATAATATGGCCAAATATTCTCACCCACCCTATAGGACAGTGGTTCTCTACTTATGGGTCCCCAGATATTTTGGCCTTCAACTCCCAGAAATCCTAACAGCTGGTAAACTGGCTGGGATTTCTGGGAGTTGTAATCCAAAACACCTAGGGACCCACAAGTTGAGAACCACTGCTATAGGGTAATGGAAAGAGAAGTCAATACAGCTCCTAGCCTATGACATTTGCTCACAAATTTAAACAATATGTGATCATACTACATTTTTTTGATGATTTGCCAGTTCAAAACTTCTTTCAGCCTTATTTGGATCAGATTAAAGGGAATCTGGACACTCATTCGGAAAGAAATTGTTTGGATGGTCATTGAAACTGAAAATCAATCATCATCTCAACACAAAAGCAAACTACATTGGTTGTTCTCGCCAGATTATTTTTAAAGTGTTGTTTTTAATGGTGGAGTTGTTTTCTGTGCTCTATTAAGTGATACAGTGTGTTGTGTTGTTTTATTATTGTTCCTTTCCTCAATTCACAGGGAAATAAATGTTTTTACAGTAACCCCTCCATTTTCATGCTGGATCCCTCTAAAAGTGGAGGGAAACATGAATTAAGAAATGCTCCTTTTTTTAACGGAAGAGAACCATCCTTTGGGAATCACTGGGTTTTCAGCACAACTCTACAGTCAACTTCTGCCAGGAAAGTGCCTACAGAAATAATAATAATAATAATAATAATAATAATAATAATAATAATAATAGAATCATAGAGTTGGAAGAGACCTCGTGGGTCATCCAGTCCAACCCCATTCTGCCAAGAAGAAGGAAAATCGCATTCAAAGCACCCCCAAAAGATGGCCATCCAGCCTATGTTTAAAAGCCACCAAAGAAGGAGCCTTCACCACACCCTGGGGCAGAGAGTTCCACTGCTGAACAGCTCTCACAGTCAGGAAGTTCTTCCTCATGTTCAGGTGGAATCTCCTTTCCTGTAGTTTCCCCTCACATATTTCCTTCCCCTCACATATTGATACATGGCCATCATGACACTTCTTTGCTTTCTTTTATGCAGGTTAAACATGCCCAGCTCTTTAAGTAGCTCCTCATAGGGCTTGTTCTCCAGACCTGTTATCATTTTAGTCACCCTCCTATAATAATAATAATAATAATAATAATAATAATAATAATAATAATAATAATTCACATAGGGAGTGTTGAAGTTGCAATCCCAGGTGACAGCAGGATTGAAGAGAAACAACAGGAAAAGCTAACACAATACAAGGATTTAAAGATCAAACTGCAAAGACTCTGGCACAAGCCAGTCAAGGTGGTCCCAGTGGTGATTGGTATATTGGGTGCAGTGCCTAAAGACCTTGGTCTGCACTTGAATACAATTGGTGCTGACAAAATTACAATCTGTCAGCTGCAAAAGGCCACCCTACTGGGATCTGCATGCATTATGATACATCACATAGTCCTAGACACTTGGGAAGAGTCCGACGTGTGATCCAATACAACAACCAGCATAATGATCTTGTTTGCTGTGTATTAATCTTGTTGTGTTTCAAATAATAATAATAATAATAATAATAATAATAATAATGGCAATACATATGCCATTTCTAGGAATCTTCTGGTCCTCTAGAGACACCACGGAGGACCTAATGATTGCTAGGTAGAACATATTAACCAAATCCATGAAAAACTAAATCTGCAGATGTCAGGTTTTGCAAACATGGAGTCCTGACTGTATTCAAATTCCTATTCGTTATCCTTGAGTTTGGAAGCAATATCTGTCCCAAGGCTGAGAACGGTTATAGAGTACCTGGATAAGACATTGGCCAAGGTCCATCAATGAAGCCGATGTAGCCAGAGAGGCAAGTGGCAAGGACCCCGTGAGTCAGAGTGACCAGTCGGCAGCTCCATTCGCAGGTGCGGTCCTTGTGCCGTTGGTAAGACCAGGTATAGAGGGAGAGCCAGCCCACCAGACTCAAGGCAACGCGGAGGACCATACTAGCCACCATGCTTTGAATGGGAGAAAGGAGCAAAGAGTTAATCCCCTCAAAATTCTGAAAGCAACCACCAGAATCAAGTCACCAACCATGCCACCCTGGCTCTCTGTGCCAAAATCACTTTGATACTAAAACTGACTTGCACCTATTAGATTGAACATTGAAACTTTGGAGACATTCCTTTTGGGAATCCTTGCAGGTATAATTTTAATGCTGTCATCTCCCGAACAAGGCCATCAAAATGTTTCCAGGGGAGAAAAAAAAGGAATTGCTATTTTCAGTAATAAATAATACTTCTTTTCAATATCTTGAGACTTTTGTCACTTTTCTATCACACATCTATTGTAAGAAGGTGAGGGGAAGCAACAAAACATGACCAATTCACACAGGAAGGCAGTCAGAAGCAATTCAGAACAAGAGGGTCTAAATAGCAGAACTTGGAAGGAACATTTTAGAGTTTACTTTACTTAGGTGATCCCTCATTGTCCAAATAGGATAGTCTTCCAGTATCAGTGTGCTGCCGGTGGGTCCGTAGGTGACTGTGGAGCCCTTTTCTTGATCTGCATGTTCTCCCGCAGTGAGGACATCGGTTTCCAGATGGAAGGCGGTCCCAGTCGGGGTTGGCTTGTCACGCCTTCCTCTTGACACATTTCTTTTTTTTGCCCCTACTTCCGTGCCTCTTCAAATTCTACAGCACTGCTGGTCACAGCTGACCTCAAGGGGCAGGGTTTCCCAGTTCTCAGTGTCCATGCCACAGTTTTTAAGGCTGGCCTTGAGCTCATCTTTAAATCTCTTTTCCTGTCCACCAATATTTCATTTTCCATTCTTGAGTTTGGCATAGAGCAACTGCTTTGGGAGATGGTCGTCGGGCATCCAGACAACATGGCCGGTCCAGTGGAGTTGATGGAGGAGGACCATCGCTTCAGTACTGGTGGTCTTTACTTCTTCCAGCACCTTGACATTTGTCAGCTTGTCTACCAAGAGATTTGCAGGATTTTCCGGAGGCAGCGCTGATGGAATCATTCCAGGAGTTGCATGTCACATCTGTAGACAGTCCACGTTTCGCAGGCATATAGCAGGGTTGGGAGGATAATAGCTTTATAGACAAGCACTTTGGTATCCCTACGGATGTCCCAGTCCTCAAACACTAGTTAGTTACCTTTAACTAATTGTTTTTTTTAGAGGAAGGTAATGAGGGTACACAATGATCAAAGTGTTGGAATAGGATTCCAGCCATCCAAGGTTTGAAATCTGAATTCAGCCATGGAAACTCACTTGGTAGGCAAGTCACGCTTAGCAGGCAAGCCACAGAGGAAGGCAAAAGTTGAAAAAAAAAAAAACCCTGAACAAATCTTTGTTGGAAATAGCAACCTCCTCAAGCCTCCACTAGTTGTTTGTTATGTATATAATGGCTTACTGTATTGTATGTGTGCATTGGTTTGCAATTTTACCTACCCTCTTTGTTGTGGGAGGGCTGCAGACCATGTGATCAGATCTAGACATGTTCAGAACTCAGACTCCATTAGACTCTTAGAGAGAGTAGAAGCCATCTGTATGCTTTTAGAAGTCAGTGTGTATGTTCACTTTAGAAGACTGCAGGAACAGTACAGTTTAGACTTCAATGCAGGAATCGTATGCTTAGAGATCAGACTTAGAGATGCTTTGGACTATGGACTATTGTTTCTAGGGAAGATGTCCTGTATTACTTACACAGAGAAACTACTTAAAATCCTATTGCAACTGGATTCATAAGCAAAGTACCTGTATGCTGTATACAGGTACTGTATACATGAAGTTTTGTCAGTAAACCAACTCTGTTACTTTTAAAGAAGACTGTTTATTTTGTCTTTTAAGAGCATATTTTACAGGCAAATATATTTTAAGGGAGAGTAGATGTTTTTGGGCAACTGAACAAACACTTCTGAAACTCTTCTGAATATATGTTTTTGTGTATTGGCATGTCGTTGTCCCTGGCAGTTCAAAGACATACCTAGGTACTAGGCTTGTTTGATAAAAAAATAGTTCAAAACCCGTTTCGGATGTAGGGGGCACTGGTGGTTCGATTCTAAACTCAATTCTGATTTTCACAGAAAAAAAATGTTCAAAACTTCTTGATACTTCTGAGACTTCCGAATCCTTCCTTAATGGTTTGACATTATTATTTCTTGTTTCATTGGGTAGTCTTTACTTTGAAAGTAGTTGAAAGGCTTGAGACAGAAATGGGTGGGGGGAGAGGGAGGAAAGGGAGGAAATTCATCCACTCTGGTTTAAAACACTTCCCAGGCTTGAGCCGAGGCCAGGGACCAGAAGTGAGGAAAAGCTGAATCATTTCCAACTCACTTACTGCTTCGTAACAGAAATGGCGGAAAAAGCTTTGGAAGGGCAAAGGGACTTCTGGTTTCCTTAAAAACTTCAAAATCGCTTCAAAAGGCAAATCTTTCCGAATTTATTCTGAATTATGAAGATTCTGACCGAACCTAACCATGCCTACTAGGTTTTTTGGTCGTGTCAGGAGTGACCTGAGAAACTGCAAGTGCCTACTAGGTACATCAGTTTAACAGCTGAGAGACCTAGTTTCCTTGTATGAATGCTGGTGAACATCATTTTCTTAAGGTTGTGATTTCTAACAAGGTCATGCCTTTCCAGTGACCAGTGGTTTTTCCAAAAGCTTATGAATACCGTTTCCCAAATGGTTACAAAGATTCACATTTTCCAAAAATCTTGCCAAGGAAACCTTGTGATAGCTTTGTTTTATGGGCATCATAGACCAAAAACTATTGGAAGGTGCATTATCTAATACATTCTAATAAATGCCATTATCTAATACAGTGGTTCCCACCCTGTGGTCCGTGGACCACCAGTAGTCCACAAGAATGAACTGCACTGTTGCCTCGAAACCACGCGGCAACGAGAGCAACTAGTCTCACAAAACCCTCTTACAGTGCCAAGACAATGGGGATGTCAGGCGGGGGAAGGCTGACTATCCACTAAAAATTACTACTACCATATCAGCTCTGGATTATTCAATATGGTTTTCTGTGGGCAAGCAGATGGCAACTACTGGATGGCATATGTTCTGTATCAGAAACTAGAGCTGATGTGGTCTAACCAATCAACTGTCTGAATCAGCACCCCAAATAATCAAATCTAAAGTTGACCAAAAACTGATTCGTAACCCTTTTGTACTGATGTTGTAGAGTGGTCCTTGGTTTAAAAAAAAAAAAAGGTTGGGAACCACTGATCTAAGAAGAAGCTGCCTTGTAAAAGCCACAACGTAATGAATGATAGCTAGTAAAAGAAAAGGAAACAGTGAGAATAACTGCTCATTGCCTGATGGTAACGAGAATCAACAATCCTTGCCTTTCCTGTATCCCAGTGTTTCTCAATCTGGAAGTCAGGACCCCTGGGTGCAGGCCCGTAGCCACGAAAAATTTCAGGGGGGGGGGTTCGGGGGGGGCTGAGTTTCGGGGGGGCTGAGTCTGAGTGAAAGAGGGTCTAGCCTAGCAAACCTTTTGTATCATTACCCCAATACCCCCATGCATATGGGATATATTGAGTATGGTGATCAGATCATGATATGAATAAACATAACAGTTTAAATAATGCACCAGTAAGGCCTTTTCGCGAACCACCATGAGAATTTCGGGGAGGGGGGGGCTGAAGCCCCTCAAGCCGGCCCCCCCCCCCCCCCCCCCCCCGGCTACATGCCTGCCTGGGTGGGTCATGAGGGGGTGTCAAAGGAGTCGCCAAAGACCATCAGAAAACATAGTATTTTCAATTTGTCATAGAGGTTCTGTGTGGGAAGTTTGGCCCATATTTCTGTTGTAGGTGAACTATCAATCCCAGCAACTACAACTCCCAAATGTCAAGATCTGTTTTCCCCAAACTTCGCCAATGTTCACACTGAGTATCATTGCCAAGTTTGGTCCTGATCCATCATTTGTTGAGTCCACAGTGCTCTCTGGACGTAGGAGAACTACAACTCCAAAAGGTCAGTGCCCACCAAACCCTTCCAATATTTTTTGTTGGTCATGGGAGTTTGTGCCAAGTTTGGTTCAATTCCAGTGTTGGTGGAGTTCGGAAGGCTCTTTGATTGTAGGTGATGTATAAATCCCAGCAACTACAACTTCCAAATGACAAAAGCAAGGTCTATTGTCCGCAAATTCCACCAATGTTCACATTTGGGCATATTGAGTATTTATTTGAAGTTTGGAACTATAAATCCCTGCAACTGCAACTCCCAAATGGCAAAAACAATTTCCCTGAAACCCACCAGTATTCAGATTTTGGCATATTGGGTAGTTATGCCAAATTTGCTCCAGTGAATGCAAATCCATCCTGCATATCAGATATTTACATTACGATGCATCATAGGAGCAAAATTACAGTTATGAAGTAGGAACGAAAATAATGTGATGGTTGGAGGTCACCACAACATGAGGAACTGTATTAAAGGGTCGTGGCATTAGGAAGGCTGAGAAATGTTGCAGTAAAAGAAAAGGAAGCAGTGGGTCTAACTGCCCATTGCCTAACGGTAACGAGAATCAAGAGTCCTGGCCTTTCCTGTATCCTAAGGAGTAAGGAGAGGAATGCTGGTTTCCAAGCCCTGGCAACATAGCAACCGATGTTGGTGGAAAAGGAGGCGTTGAAGGCAAGCTTGGCAGAGGCGAGGGGCTGGGGAGGAAAGGCTTGTGCCCAAAGCAACACGTGCCCAAAGCCCCGAGCGCCTCCTTTCCCCCTCCAGTCCACACCTGTTGCACTGGCTCAAAGGGACACTTGCACCTGGGGTCTTGGAAAGGAAATCCGCCATAAGAAGCCTTTCTCTCCCTTCCGCCCCGAGCTGTCACCCAGAGACACCGCCCACGCAAGACCCACCCCAAAATAGACACAGAGCAAGAGAGAAGGACGCCAACCCGGCGAGTGGCGCGCCTTTTACGCACGGCTTGGAGAGCTTGGCGGGGCGCGCCTTTGGAGAGGTTACCTGGCTTGGGAAAAGGTGACCGAGGGGGGCTTTCCTCTCCCCCTTCCTCGCCCCCTCGGCTCCTCCACAGCCCTACTTGCCAAGGGAGGAGGCGTCTCTTTCTCTCTCTCGCCCCCTCCTCGACTCTGACGCCTCCAAAGAGCAGCACCCGGCGCCAGGCAGCGACGCGGCGAAGGCGCAGAAGAGCCCTTCTTAGGGTCACCTGCTGGCGAGGAGGACGGAGCGCAACGCCTTGGCAACCCACCAGGAGGAGGGAGGGGGAGAGCCTTCTCGCGTGGGGGCACCCACTCACCCACCCACCCACGCCTTGCCTTACTTATTTGCAACGGAAGGAGGGATGCGCCGCCCCTGATCTATCCTTTCCAAGTGGCTCTCCTCATTGAACAGTGTTTCTCAACCTTCCTCATGCCACGACCCCTTAACAACAACAACAACAACAAAAACAATAATATGTCGCCATACCGGGTGATAGTCGCATTGAGGAAAAACTCAGCCGCTATCAAGACCTCAAAATCGAACTGCAAAGGCTCTGATTGCATAAACCAGTACAGGTGGTCCCAGTGGTCATTGGCAAAAGATCTCAGCTGCATTTGGAAACAATAAACATTGACAAAATCTCGATCTGTCAACTGCAAAAGGCCACCTGACTTGGATCTGTGCGCATCATTCGAAAATACATCACACAGTCCGAGATGCTTAGGAAGTGTTCAACTTGTGATTTTGTGATACGAAATCCAGCATAGAGATCTCGTTTGCTGTGACATACTGTGCTTTTGTGTCAATAATAGTAATAATAATAATAATAATTTTTACAAGTAAAACAATTAGTCGAAGAAGAAAAACACGCCCTAACAGAATATGTCAAGGAAAGCCAAGAATCTGCTTTAATTGAAGTTAAAAACGGAAACTTCTCAAAGCACAGCAGACAAAGAGTCAGTACAAGAAAACTGCACTCCAAACCAGAGCTGAAAGCTGGCACAACAAAGCATTGCATGGGCAGTTCCTTGACAAATTTGAAGGAAAAGTTGACAAGGAGAAGACCTGGTGATGGCTCACGAATGGAACCCTGAAGAAGACGACAGAAGGCGTGATTCTTGCAGCCCAGGAGCAAGCTATCAGAATCAATGCAATTAAGACCAGGATTGAAAAATCAGCAGATGACCCAAAATGCAGACTGTGCAAGGAAGCTGATGAAACCATGGATCATCTCCTCAGCTGTTGCAAGAAAATTGCACAGACAGACTATAAACAAAGACACAACTCTGTGGCCCAAATGATTCACTGGAACTTATGTCACAAGTACCACCTGCCAGCAGCAAAGAATTAGTGGGATTATAAACCTGCAAAGCTTGTGGAAAATGAACATGCAAAAATACTGTGGGACTTTCGAATCCAGACTGACAAAGTTTTGGAACACAACACGCCAGACATCACAATTGTGGAAAAGAAAAAAGTCAGGATTATTGATGTCGCCATACCAGGTGACAGTTGCATTGAGGAAAAACAACAGGAAAAACTCAGCCGCTACCAAGACCTCAAAATCAAACTGCAAAGGCTCTGGCAGCATAAACCAGTACAGGTGGTCCCAGTGGTCATTGGCACACTGGGTGCCATTTCAAAAGATCTCAGCTGGCATTTGGAAACAATAAACATTGGCAAAATCATAATCTGTCAGCTGCAAAAGGCCACCTGACTTGGATCTGTGCGCATCCTTCGAAAATACATCACACAGTCCTAGACGCTTGGGAAGTGTTCGACTTGTGATTTTGTGATACAAAATCCAGCATATAGATCTCGTTTGCTGTGACATACTGTGCTTTTGTGTCAATAATAATAATAATAATAATAATAATAATAATAAAACTTTATTTATACCCCGCCACCATCTCCCCAAGGGGACTCAGGGCGGCTTACATGAGGCCACACCCATCAATACAATGTACACAATATAACACAAAGACACAACAGAAAATCAAAAAAAAAATCTAAAATACAAAACAATATATATAAGCAACACAACAATAAAAAGTCAAAACATTACGACATTTCATTACGACGTTAAAAATAATCACCATGGGCAGGGCCAAATTCAAGGATTAAAATGTTAAAACACTGGGAGATAGGGCACTGTAAAATATCAGGGAGGGGCTCCGGGGAATGAGGTAGGATTTAATTGCACAACAAGAGAATAAAGTGCTTCTGAGGGCATTTCATGCAGAGTTTGGTCAGAGATTATCATGTAATTGATCACTGAAGGCACATTGGAATAGCCAAGTTTTCAGGCTCTTCCTGAAGATTGCCAGAGTGGGCGCTTGCCTAATATCTCTGGGGAGCAAATTCTAGAGCTGGGGGGCCACAACAGAGAAGGCCCCCTCCCTCGTCCCCACCAGTTGCATTTGCAATAGGCAGGAGCGAGAGGAGGGCCTCTCCAGAAGATTGAGGGATTGTGCGGGTTCGTAGAAGGAAATGCGGTCGCACAGTCCCTCATGTTGTGTTGACCCCCAACCATAACATTCTTTTTGTTGCTACCTCACAACTGTAACTTTGCTACTGTTATGAATCCTAATATAAATATCTGATATGCAGGATGTATTTTCATTCACTGGACCAAATTTGGCACAAATACCTGAATTGAATCCAGACAAGACAGAGGTCCTCCTGGTCAGTCGTAAGGCCAAACGGCATAGGGTTACAGCCTGTGTTGGATGGGGTCACACTCCCCCTGAAGACACAGGTTCTCAGCTTGGGAACAGAGGCGGCCCTAGATAATTTTCAACGGTAAGCAAACAGTATTTTGGCACCCCCCCAACCAATCACTGATATATATTTTCTGTTCATCATGGGAGTTCTGTGTGCCATTTTTGGTTCAATTCCATCATTGGTGGAGTTCAGGTTGCTCTTTGATTGTAGGTGAACTATATATCCTAGTAACTACAACTCGCATATGTCAAGGTCTATTTTCCCCCAAAAGCGCCTCAAGAACACCCTTGGGCAAAAGCAACTATACTGCAAATGCTTACTTCAAGTAATGGGTTGAGCCACCCCTGCTTGGGAGTGATCCTGGATTCATCGCTGAGCCTGGAACCCCAGTTTTCGGCGGTGGCCAGGGGAGCTTTTGCACAGTTAAAGCTCGTGCCCCAACTGCACCACTGTCACAAAAGCCTCCAGCTGCTACTGGTTGTAGCTTAATCAAAGTAACCTTTTCAGCCTCTTATGGATGCAGGAAAAACGTTCTGTATGTATGGAAACTTGGAGAAGTTGACAAAAGGTATGGTAAACTGGCTGGATTTCTGGGAACTGTAGACCAAAACACCTGGGAACCCACAGGTTGAGAACCACTGGTTTAACCCACTGCACCACCGCAATTTATTCAGAATAGAAAATGAACCTATTTTACAAATGGCACAAAAACATTCTGAAATGTATGGAGCTGCTGAACCACATTGCATTTCTTTCCTTTTGCCAATTTTGGAAACAGGGTAAATGCCCACAATAACAACAGAAGTAAGCTAATCAGTCCAAGGCAGAAAATTGGCTTGCTTCTGCTAGTTCCTCAGCATGCCAAGCAGGGATAACACACTCATTCCCATCAAAAGAGCTGAGAAAAAAGAAAGCCAAATCTGGAACTGCAGCACTGTGAGATACTGCAAATATAGTCTGTCTTACATAAACGTCTTGCATCGTTTGGGGAATGATTTTGGGTCAGTCAATATGTAAGCACATATTATTCACAACTAGCCATCCCCTGCCACGCGTTGCTGTGGCCCAGTCTGGTGATCTGGAAAGTAATGAGAAGGTGTTGATTTCTAATATGTGTAATGTCTTTCTGCTTGTGGGTAAACAGTATTTCTTGTTGTTTCTTTGTCAGTGTTGATGTGGAGATTGTCTGGTTTGCCCACCCTGGAACATGGAACATATAATTGTCCTTCTTTAGGAGTCCCTTTCAAATCTATGATACTATATCTCTCGGTTTGTGAATCATAAATCTCTATCTATATCTACGGCTGGATGGCTCTTTGTCAGGAGGGCTTTGATTACGTTTTCTTATCTGGTGAAGGGAGTTGGATTGGATGGCCTTAAGTATTTTCTATTGGTCATGGGGGTTCTGTGTGGGAAGTTTGTCCCAATTCTGTCATTCGTGGGGTTCAGAATGCTCTTTGATCCTAGGTGAACTATAAATCCCAGCAACTTCAACTCTCAAGTGTCAAGGTCTGTTCCCCCCAAACTCCATCTGTGTTCATATTTGGGCATATGGAGTATTCATGCCAAGTTTGGTCCAGATCCATCATTATTTGAGTACACGGTGCTCTCTGGAGGTAGGTGAACTATAAATCCCAGCAACTTCAACTCCCAAGTGTCAAGGTCTGTTCCCCCCAAACTCCATCTGTGTTCATATTTGGGCATATGGAATATTTGTGCCAAGTTTGGTCCAGATCCATTCTTGTTTGAGTCTACAGTGCTCTCTGGATGTAGGTGAACTACAACTTCCAAACTCAAGGTCAATGCCCACCAAACCCTTCTAGTGTTTTCTATTGGGCATGGGAGTCCTGCGTAACACATTTGGTTCAATTCCATAATTGGTGGAGTTCAGAATGCTCTTTGATTGTAGGTGAACTATAAATCTCAGCAACTACAGCTCCCAAATGACAAAATCATTTTTTTTGAGTGAAGGACATACATTGGGTTGTTAGGTGTCTTGTGTCCAAATTTGGTGTCAATTCGTCAAGTGGTTTTTGAGTTCTTTTAATCCCACAAATGAACATTACATTTTTATTTATATAGATTCTTTAAAAAATATTGCAATAATCCATTTTCTCTCAAATTTTCTGAAAAGAAAAAGCTTGGAGATGGTGGTGGGTGCCTGATTTTTCCAATTTTCCCACCTTGGACTTTCACATCTCTATTGAAGACTAGCACGGGGAAACTGACCTGGCTGGAGATGGAGTCCTTTTGCTTCCCTATTCATGCCTTTTCCCTTTATTTTGGGACATTCCCATTGGACTTTTGGAGTTCCCTTATGGTTTGATATGTACACACAGCTATGCTTTTGCATAATTAAAATTTTGGTTCCTCTGATTCCTGGGAGTCTATGACACATGATATTAACAGGTTGCTTTCCTCATGGGATAAATATGCACCGTACACCTCAAAACCTCCCTTGCCCGGAACAATGAGACATTATTGTGCTGTGAGTCAGGTGAGATTATTACCTCCCGAAGCTGAG